TCAGAAACAGAGGTGAATCATTAATGAAGCATCATTAACCATCAGCCTTCCCATACTCTTGTCAGGACATTAACACCAGCTGCCCACTGTCCCTTTTCCCCTTGCCCAGCCTGAAGGTCACTGCTGGTTGGGTTAGTCTGGTAGTACAGCTGGGGCTCCTGAGAGGCTGCAACAAGAGCAGCAATTTGTGTCACTCTGCCCTGCCTCTGTCCATCAGCTGTGCAGCAGCAAAGTTCCCTCTCAGAGGCACAAACTCACCCTTTGGTGTTGCTTTTGCTGCTCCTCCATTCAGAGCTACTTCTGCCAGAGCATTAAATGTTCCCTAAGTGGTGAGTGTCTTCTGCTAATGCAGATGCATTTCTTTTGTGAGTTAGCTTAATTGTGTTCTTGGTGTGTGTTTTCTGTTGTGTTTTGGATGCAAACAAGGGTCCTTAGTCCAGTTCTTTTATTATTTTAATATCAGGACTGGAAACCTGCCCTGGATCATCTCCTGAATCAAACAGGAGCATCTTAATACAGTAGTTACTTCCACCACTCTGCCTGGGAAACTCTAAGGCATCTGAAAGCCAGACTACCCTCCAGTCAGGATACACTTTACATTAAAAATTCAACAGGCTGTTTTATTTACTCTCCCATCCTTCAGCACACACCACTTTCCCTGTTTTCTGGCTCATCAAATCCGTAAGAGAACGTTCTATCAACAGAGAGAAGCACGGTCTTATACCAAATGGGTCTTATACCTATTTGGATACAAAGTCTAATTGTTGATATTCAGTAAATTCACCTCAAAGTGAACAACAGTCTTCTTGCAGGTTGTCTTTGATGCCTGGCTTCAGCCTCTTCCTTTTCTCATGGGTGATGGTGGGTGGGACCACTCAAAAAAAGGGTTTATCCAGGCATGAGAGAGACCAAATATTTCCCATCACTCAACAGCCACTGACCCTTCTGTCCAAGAACTGGCTGCTGTGGGTGGCAAGAGGAGAGGGTAACATTTGGGCTAGCAGGAAAACTTTGGAGTTTCCAGAGAATTCCCTTGGGGTTTGAATGAATCTTCTGTCTGGGAAATCCTGGGATAAAGCATCCAGCAGTTGTCAGCATGGACAGTGGGGGATGTGGGTGTATTCACAGAGCTGAGGTGGTCAGTGATTGAATCTTTAGGTGAATGTTTAGCTTTTGTTGCCTTTTGATGAATCAGGGTGTCTTTTATGAGGCAAAATTAATGCAAGTGCTAATCTTTTAACAGTGGCCAGGAAATGAAATGTCATAAGGGGAAAAAAGCTCATTAGTTTGGTGCTGTAAATGGTTCTCCAAGGTCTCAGAAACCCTGTGATTAACATAAACATAGGCAGAGGCAATTACAAGCAAATACACACATAAAACTCAGCTTTCCATCTAAAAACGTGGTCTGCAACATCTCTCTTTGGCTGTTCACAGCTGTGGTGACCTAGAGGTAAGGGACTTTTCATACCAATCATGGCACAATCTGAAGGCAGAGGAAGGAGAGCAGCCAGCCCAGGGTGAAAGTGAGGACAACAGAGTAACACAGGGTATGTAATATAGTCCCCAGGGCACCAGCTAAGGGATTTTGTGATTTACCCTCAGAAGTACACCCTTTCTTGGAGAAATTTGAAGTAAATGCTTCCCTGTTGTGTTTTCTTCACACTGAAATCCTCAATCAAGTTGTTGCATGTGGACATGCTGATAGTCCTTAGGACAGGGCAGAATAGTGGACGTTTTGTCAGGTTTTCTAGTGAGTTCCATGATATCCACCAGCAGGTAATGCTCAAGATGAGGATGAGAACAAGAGAAAGTGGGAGGAGTGGGACAGCAGCACAGACTCCTGTGTTTGTACCAGACTGTGCACTCTTTACTCTGCATTTCTGCCCTTAGCCTTGATCTATTTACTCAGAATAGACCCAGATATGAGGAATGAGGTGTGTTTTGTAAAAAGCAAAGCTTGGTCTCCTTGCCTGTCACTGTGGCAACCGTGTCAAGAGACAACTGCATTGATGCCACATGGTGTAAATAGTGAAGGAGACAGAGGTGTCCAGGCAAGGTCAGGCAGAAAGGCCAGAGTCCCACCCAGCACCCTGACTGGCAAAAGTCACCTCAACTACAGCAGTTTTTGGATAACCTGCCCCATAGGTGTATCCCCCACAGAGTCCTGGCAGACTAAATATCAGCTTGAAGCATCTCTTCTCCACTGTTTTTAAGGTATTTTCGTGACTTTAGGTGCTCTGTCTGTTCAGGCAATAACACAATCCACTCTGCATGCAAGGCTGACATCCTGCAGTAATGAGCTGCACAGGCTGATTACTTGTTGCACGATAAAAATAAGTTGCCAGCAGCTGACTATGAGAAGCCACGGGGGATAAAAGCCAAGAAAAAGCAGTTATTTGTTTTCCCAGAAAAGAGAGAGGGCACAGTGAAGGAACACAGTTCACAGAGACTTACCCAGCAGGGGAGAAAGGCATGAAAATTTGACTGACCTGGTGGGGCAGAGCAGGCATGGAGGTTGCAGCTTTGGAGGTTATGAATCCTCCAAAGGCCTTCAAAGAAGGGTCCTGGGGAGTTTGTATTGTTGCTGGAGCACAAAAGGTTTTTACCTAATGTCTAACCCCTGCTAAGGGAACCATGGACTTCAGTCACTTATTCGACCTTTGGAGTAGTGTTATGATGTCATCAGTGTTACAATTTTACACAAAATTAGGTGTGCAATTGTGTGTTAAATAGTGGTAGTTAGCTTGGATTGCTCAACTAACGAAGCAGGCAGCTTTAAAGCTGTCACATATGGACTGCTCCAGGGCACTGCACTGCAAGGGAGCCTGAAATCACTCCGACTTCACCGGGAAGAGAAGCATCCCTTTTCCTTCTCTGGCATCCCCTCAGTGGGACACACCTCCTCATCCAGCTCCCACCCCAGCAATTTGCTCTGGAGCTTATAAATCTGGCTCCCTGCCCAGGGAGTCCTGCCCAGGTGTCCGTGTAGGCTCAGACAGGTGGCAGAAGCTGCAGATGACCTCTAATGTGTGCCCAAATTTTGCTTAATTAAGAAAAGGCTCTCTAATAGCATTCACCACCATCTCCTGATGACTCTGGGGCCACTCAGGCTGTGGCAGCACAACCAGCCAGGCTCTCCTGTAGTGCATGACGTCCTAAAGAGTGCAATGGCATAATTTAAATAAAACATAATTTTATTTTCCATCATTAAGGGACTCAGCCTGGGGCAGGCTCAGTCCAGCATGCAATGTGGCCCCTGGGTAGTTGGTCTGACCCCTCCTGCATGGCTTGGAGCAGAAGCACCAGCTGGGTGGTCACTGTGGTGCTGTCTGAGGTAATGTGGGTAAAATCTCATCCAGCAGTGTGAGGATTTGGCTCAGGGTCTTACAAGTGAAATTTCTGACCAATATCACTATCAAAACACTTAGTTGTTGGCTATATTAATTAGATCCCAGCAGATGCTACTTCACCTTCTGAACTATAGTTATTTCAGGGAGGTAGTGCCTCATCTTGTTCATTCCCCAGTACTTAACTACAGTGGTTGTATGGAAAAACAGAATAGTTCTTGGCATTCAGACTGCACTGATCACCACAGAATCAGGGAAAGGGCTGGGGGAGATTCCCCTCCTTCCTCCTTCTTTCTTCTGGACCACCTTCTTGTCCAATTTGCTGTTCACCAGCACAGCCAAAAGCTTCATCAAATATTGCCACCTCTTCTTTTAAGCAAGGTCCTTGTCTGCAAGTCCCAGTCCCTGAGCATCTGGGCAGGGCAGCAGGATCCCAGCAGGGAGGAGGTGACAGGAACACCAGTTTGGCCAGTTTGCCCAGCCAGCTGCCCAACCAGGGTGAGAATTGGGCCTGGGGCTGTGTCATGGCCCCTGTGCAGGGGGCTCTGGGCTGACTCCAGCTGGAATGCCCTGCCCCTCAGCAACCATCAGCCTGTCTGCACACAGATGGATTTTGGCTCCTGTCCATGTCAGTCTTCCCCTGCAGCCACCTCTACAGTATTTAAGTATTCTCCTGGTTCACCACTATGCAAATATTGAAATTATCCCTTTGCATGACTATGGAAACAGTGACATTAGAGACTTTTTCAGATCATGTGCCTTCTCTGCTGACAGCATCAGCCATCAGGTTTATTTTTCAGTGAGCTAAAGAATGGCCCCCAGTGTATGAAAACTTCACAATGAACTATTTGGTTTCTGGATTTTTTTTTTCCCTTAAGCTTGTATCTGAATGCATTAAAACCACAAAATGTTGTGCTGTGAAAGAATGCAAAATGCAGCCTTCACAGGAATGGCCCAATTCTCAGAATCCAGGATTTTTAACTGAGCCTCACTAAAACCAGAAGAAATTTAGAGGGGAGCCATATCCCCACTAGCAGGTCCAATGTGGCCTGAGACCCTGAGAGAAGGTAACAGATCTCATGCCCTGAAGTGAAACAAGGAAGTCCTTGGGCAGGGATCTAACTGGCCTCAGGATAGTAATTTCTCCATGGGAAAAGATATCTTTGTCATATCAGTTACATTTCCACAAAATGCTGCATTTTCATCTCATACTTCTGCCCCATTCAGACACCTTCCCTGAGAGCCTCACCTTGCTGAGAGCTGCAGAACAACCAAAAACCTGTAATGAGTGTGGATGTGCTTAAACAATAGCCATTTTGTCCCCAAAAAATACTTCCATAAGAAAACTGGACACAGCTATTACCCTTTCTTGAACTACTGATGATTTCTTGCCCGTGGTATGAACTCTTTGCAGCATGGAGCAGAGCTAAGCCTGATTAGTCAGCCTCATCTTTTGCCAGTGGGGCTAATGGGGTTTATTTTCCATTCCAACACACTGGTCTCTCATCCCCATTATTTTACATCTCACCTCAAGTTAACAAATGTCCATCCTCAGAGCACAGGGGGCATGGCCACAGGAGATCTGGCACACAGGATATTATGTGCTCTGCCGTGTTGGGTGGGCAGTGACAAAAATTATCCCTCTTCCCCCAGGTCCTTCCATCGTCCCACTGCAGCGAGCAGAGCCAACACTGGGCAACCCTCTAAAATGTTTATTTGGACCAGTGGCCGGGGATCTACATCTTACAGACATGATGAGAAAAGGTAAAGGCACCTGTGCTGATTGTCTCTTATGGGTTTGCATATCTGTGAGCGTGGCCCGTGGCTTCTCCCCAGTGGTGGCACTGGAGGAGCAGGAGGGACGCAGAGGGTGCTCTCCCTGTGCCCACAGCCCTGCTCCACCAGGCACAGGAGCACCCAGGGGGTGCCAGGGTTACCGTGCCAAGCCAAAGCAGAGCCAGGGGGCAATGCCAGAGCCACGGCCAAAGTCTTCCTTGTTCTCAGACACCAGCAGCACACCGTGACCATCTCTGATTCAGGTATAAAAGCACACTAACCCCCACCCACAGGTGTGCAGCCGCAGCCCCTGTGAAGCCTTCATGCTTTTTGCAGGTGTCCTGCCTCCAGCCACCAGCCACGCTGTCCCCCAGGCAGATCACTGCCCCACACAGCTGTTGCATGTCACCATGATATTTTCTGAAAAATCCCTTCACCCAGGACTTTCTCCTGGGAAGCTGAGAAGCTTCAGCTTCTCCCTGTGTTGCTGCTTTAGAATGTGGTTTTGGAACTTCCCAGCATGTGAATTGTTTAATTTAATGACCAATCCTGGTCCAGCTGTGTCAGGACTCTCTGAGTCAGTCACGAGTTTTTATTATTCATTCTTTCTAGCCTTCTGATGTATCCTTTATCTTTTAGTATAGTTTTGGTATTTTTAATATTACATAATATCATAATATAATAAATTAGCCTTCTAAGAACTTGGAGTTAGATTCATCTCTTCCCTCATCCTGGGGACCCCAGCAAAGACCACAGTTGCACACCTGAATGATGCATCCAGCTGTGAGATGATTTCTGGTTATACAGGTGCCGGTGTGAGGATGAGCCTGTGTGCAATACATTGCACAGTAGCTGGGGGCTGTTCAGCTGCTTGAAAGAGAGCTGGTGGCTCACCAGCCCACTGGAGTGGTGTTGCTGGAGGGAACAGGCTCAAGGAGACAGAGGAATAAATGAGTTACTGGATCTCCCAGGGGAGCAGGGAAATGTGCCAAAGAGAAGGGAAAGGAAGGGGAGGTTTGAAGTCTACAGACAAAGGCAGTGCTCAGTTGGGAACAAAAGAAGTTAAATATCAGTGATGAATAATAATTGTCAGTAATGCTCAGACTCATCCTTCCAAAATCCCTCTCCTTTGTAGTAAGATTTGCTGGACAGCTTGTCTTGTCACAACAAGGACACATTTGCCTTTCTTTTCTTTCCTTTGCCCCTTTCCACCTCTCCTTCAGTTCCTCTTGCAGTCACTATTAAATGTAATCACAAAAAATCACACTCCAGTGAAACAAAGCCAGATATCAATGTATCTACAGTGCCAATTAGCAAAACACACTCTTCAGTAATTCTAATGAGATGTTACTGTTGGCATCTGCTTGGCAATCTGCACTCCTGAATTCAGGCAGCAGAGCTGCCCTCAGGACCCTGAGATTCTTTGGAGAATTGGCCGATTCTCTGAATATTTCTGCAAAGGTTGCATAGGTGTTCAGCTCTTTGGATTATCTGATCCCAAACAGATAGTTTGAAGACAAAAAGGCCAGCTTTGCAGCATGAGCTTTCATTGGAGCTGGTTGTCTAAGTGCCTCCTGTGCTTCTGCCAGTCTCTTCTTTAATTGAATTTTCCCCAGGCTAATGTCCTTCTGCATTAGAACGCTGTCATGATCCGGGGTTAGACACTTGAAGGAGATATCTGCCCACATTTTGGGCTGGCTGGAAGCTCCTGATTAGCACAGCCTTTGACTCTCACCATGCCTTGAAGCTAGGCTTATTAACTTGGGCTGAGGTCTCACCAGAGGCTGGTCAGTACAAATCCAGGCAGAGCTCATCCCTGCCTGCCTGCAGAGACAGGGAATAGGGAGCAGGATCTCTGTGCCTACACACCAGCCATGGTGAATTCAGATATCTTGACAAGCCTTGGGGTGGGTTTATTTCCCAAGAGGTTCTGTAGAGCTGTACAGAAGGACTTCTTTGTACCTTGTGAGTGATTAATAAAATTCAGGCGGGAGAGGGAGGAAAAGAAGATGGAAATAAAAGTGCTGATGGCAGCCTGAAGACTGCAGAGGAGAGGTGTGAATACAGAGCAAGTGCTGTTAGTGGGAGAAACTCATCCTCCAGTGTCTGGCAGTGATTTTAACACATGTAAGGTCACCAGTGCCATCATTATATCAAACAGGTGGTGCCTTTCAGAGAAATTACTCACCTTAAATGACCCTTCCCCAAGAATTTTGTCCTTTAAACTTCAGACAGGAAGATTGTCACATGGATCAGCAAGTCTGTCACCCAACATGTCCTACAGCCACAGACTTTTGAGGGGTTGCACCATAATATTAACTGTGCTGCAATGAGCCACTTGCCCTAAAGGAATCAGGCATCTCTGAGGCATCTCTTTTTGCAGGATCAGCACCACAATATCTGTATTTCATTGCTGTTTTAGCCATTGACAATTCCTCAGCTGCCACATTTTATGCTTTGGAAAACTAGTTGAGCCCTCATTTTTTCTCAGCTGTCAAAGAGGTTCTTCACACCATTGCAACCACTGGAAAAACAAAGCACTGGTTTGGTTTGGTTTGGTTTGGTTCAGTTTTGTCCAGCCTGGTGAGGAAGAATGAAGGAATTGAGTGAACAAATCTGTTAATATCTATAGGAATCCACCTACAATCATCACTGAGTCTGTTCTGAGGGCTCCAGAGAGATTTCCTGTTGCCATAGGTCTACTACTGGTGCAGCCAAACATACCTGTAAATAAAAATGTAAAGAAGGTGGCTTCTGAGCAGAAAAATCCCTGAACACAGGGAATTCTTCAGATAAGACAGAGGAGTAATTTCTGACCATTGCATTCAAGGATTTCTGATATAGTAAACACCTCACCATGAAGTAATTTGAGTGACAACTGCATAACAACTGTGATATCAGAGAAGGGAATGTGAATTCAAAGTCATTCTGAATTATTCAGGCAGGCATCCCTGTCTGACTGCGTGGTGCCAGAGGAGGCAATGTCCCCCTCAGTGTCACACCATGGTCCCTCTGCAAGGGGAGGGCTTTGCAGGTAGGTAATCTGTGTTTATTTGAAATAAATAAAGTAATTGCAGGTGCCTGGTTATTCCAGCTTTCCCATGAGGACACTTGGCACTCTTTACAGAGCTCTTAGTGCTGCTCATTCTGGAGCAGGAGGTGCAGAAGGATCTGCTGACCACATTGAGAGGGATCCCTGCACTGCTGCTGTGCAGGGACATGGAGAGGGAAATCTCTGCCTGTCCCCAGCAGGCACAGTCACAGCTGAGATCTCCCCTCTGGCACCTGAGCCTGGGGAGTGCAGGCAATCTGTGTCCGTGGAGCAACTTGGCAGAAAGGACAGGGAAATTTAGCAGGGGAGAACTTCAGTCTGGAAATGATCAAGGAACAAAGACCTTATGTCCTAGGGGGATTGCTTCCTATTAAATGCCTTTGAAGAAGTCAGGGAGACCCTGTATTCTGACAGCTGGGGCCTCTTTAAAAACCAACAGCTGCCCCGGATGGCATATGGGGAGTTATCCCAGGGAATCACAAGGATTGGATGGAGTCACTTGGTGAGCAGCGCCTGGGATGCAGCGACCTGTACTCAAACACAGCCCAGCAGGCAGCTGGCTGTGGCTGTGCAGCTCTGGGATCCAAAATCAGCCAGCTAAGCAGGGCATCATTCCAGCTGACCGAGCAGAGGGAGGCCCCTGAGCTGTGCCAAAAGTTCACAGGTACACGAACCCACCCACGCCCCCAGAGCTGCACACTCATGGGCAGGGCACTGCTGCTGCCCCAGCGAGGCAGGTGCTCAGACTGCTCTGTTTCTGGCCAAATGCTGGCCAAAACATATTGTGTTCCCCAAACCAGGGCTCTCAAGGGCAAAAATGTGAAGTTTTGTAGCAGCAGACATTGCCAGTGTCATGCAAAGAGAATTGGCACCTCCCCAGTGCAGGCACAAGGGTGAGGAGGAGGAGGAGGAGGAGGAGGAGGAAGGGTTGTTCAGTGCTGTCTCCTGGGCTGCTGTCATGGGCTGGCATGTGCCACCCACCCCAGCAGGGTCACCAGGCTGACTCCTGGCGGGGATTCAGGGGAAAAAACCCTCAGTGAGATGCACCAGGATATCACTTTGCTGTTGTTTGGGGCTTTGAATAGCAAATATTTACAAAAGAGCAATGGAAGCCATGCTCCAAGGCTGACCTCTGAGGCAGAGCTTTCTTTAGTTTTATTTCCTACAGTAGGTGAGCTTGGAGGGTGAACCAGGCAGGTGGTCACCAGTCACCTTTGCCAGGTAGCTCATTTTCACTATACACCCTTCAGTCCTTCCTTTTTGTTACCTCTGATGGTGTGTTCTTTGGCTAAAGCCATGGGAAGAACCTGTAACCAATCTCAATTAGTTATTTGTTTTCAAATTGTCCATTTGTATCCCTTTTATGTCCAATGACACCAGTGAGTGATTGCACTGGGGCTGTTTTATGCCTACACGTTGACATAAGTTATGCTGTGTGATCGTTTAATGTGCTGGAACTGCATGACAATCTCTGCCTTCCTGCCTGCTTCCATCTGGGAGCCATGCAAATCCTAATGGCAGCAGTTAAATACAGTTTGATAAATAATAATAGAAAAGCAGCATTAGATTATTACTCTACATTACTTCTTTGAATGCAATTGCATCTGCCAGTTTACAATATTTTTTTTTTTTCAAACAGCAGAGGAAACCTTGACAGGCTGAATTACCGTTTCATTTTTAAATAGGAAAATACTGACAAGCTCTAAAGGATGGTTTTGAAGAGAAACCATGGACACCTAAAGATGTAAACTACAGCTGGATAAAAAAAACCTCAAGGGTTGTTGGGTACAGGAGACTATTGACTGCAGTACTGTCTAAGCAAGATTTCTGCTATAAAACCCCACACCATATGTGCTTTTCCTGGCTATGACTCATCACCTAAACAGAAATTCAATTCCAGTCTCAGAGAGTCTATGATTAAATATATTTTTTGCTGTTGCTTCTACTGTGTTTATGTATGATTTCACATCTGTCTTATTTCTATTTCTTTATCCTCAATAGCCAGCGTAAGTTCTCTGGTTGACCTGACTCAGTGATTTTTATTTTTTTTTTCCCCCGCGGGTGAGTGAAACTTGGTGGCTTCAGCTGAAACGAGTGGTGGGTTTGCTAGAGGCCAAAGTGACGTTGATGTTGCTCACCTGCCGTTTTGCAGACAGTAGAAGAGGAACTTCTCCCACGTGTACTACTGTGTCCATGTTATGGTGGTGCCAGGGCTCAGAGGTGTGCGGTTCACATGCTTCGGGTGCTGCCTGGATGATTCTAAAGAACCATTACAGAAAGCACAGGAGATTTTGACCAGCCTCAGGTCTGTAAGTACATTTTAAACCCACAAAGTTTGAGTGTGTTTGAAATGTACTCAAATATTTCCTTCTCCACCATTGTGTCCTCATGACCCATTGAATCATCAAAGGCTTGGAGATGAAAGAAGGACTTATGGTTAGAAAATGCAAAGGACTCTCTGCTGAAGGGGGAATGGTTTGTTGTATCTTCTTTTTCTTTTTTTTCTTTTTTTTTTTTAATCCCAGAACAAATAGCTCTGGTGGATAATTCTCTGTGAGGGCTTTCACTGTAATGAGTAACTGGGCTTCCAAAAAGCTGTTTTATGAATAAAGTAAATAAGTTCCCAATCAAAAAAACCCACAGAAATCAATGAGCTTGGAGTCACACTCAGGATGGAAAATTGCCCAAACCAATAGCCTGTAGTGAATCAAAAGAGAGCATGGTCCTTTCAGATAATATTAACGATGATTTTCTTCAGGCTATTGCCTACATGTGGTAAAACAAGACTTGTTACCCTATTCAGATGGAGAAAAGACACCTCATACACCTGGGCATCTTCTGGTGGCCTGAGATGGCACTGGCAGGTCAAATGCACCTCTGGGATAATTCTACTGAGCCAAAGAGGCTGTACCAAAGAAGTGTTTACTGAGCTGGCACAAGTGTCTAATATTTGTATTTGCTGTAAGAGGTTTTCACCTTTTCAGAAATGGCTGTAATTTGTTTTGGAGATGAATAACTTTCCACCAGGTCAGAGTGAATCTGTTGGAAAAGGACACCAGAGGACCTTTAAGCCTTTCTCTCCCATGAGATGGGTATGGAGGTGGAAGTGCCCACCCTGTAGAGGCTGCATTGATGATTAAACATGAACTTCACATAAGAATGTATTATTTTCAACCTCAGAAATATTTACCAAAAAATCAGGGATCACGACCTACTGGACAAAAGGAAAACAGTCACAGCCCTGAAAGCTGGAGAGGACCGGGCCATACTGCTGGGGCTGGCCATGATGGTGTGCTCTATCATGATGTACTTCCTGCTGGGAATCACGCTGCTGCGCTCCTACATGCAAAGGTAACTTCATGGCTGGCCCCGGTCTCACATCCCCTGCTGCGGCTGACTTCATGTGGCTTATTCTTTTGGCTGTTTTATTAGCCAAACCTTTATTAGGTTTATGATTGTTCATTTGGTCAGCACAGGCCTAACTCTGCACTTCCTTGCCCCAGTATAAATTAGGCACAGCCACAGTGAAAGCAATTTGAGTAATACTGGCATAAAGTGGGGGAAGAATTGGAACTGTTTGACAAAATCTCGATCCACAGGCTTTAGACTTGGCACAGTTTAACACCAGCATAATATCCATATCAGCTGGCCTGCAGTCTGCTGAACCATATAAGCTTCTCAGGGGCTCCTGCTGCAAAGCCCAGACTCAGGACAAAAGACCAAAAAATATTTTGCATCCTTGAGAAACAGTCCACTTCTAAATGAAAGATGGAAAATTAATTTGGGAAAGAAATCAAGCTCTTTGTAGCACGTAGTTTTCCATGTCGGTTATTGCTTTCATTTTAACAAGTGAAATCCTCATGAAAGATAGTAATTTGCTGAAAGCAAAAGACCATCTTCCATCATTCCTACACTGCACTTAATTTTTCTGAGGCTGTCTCTGCCACCGAGCAGAGAGCTTGGCCTGTGATTCATTAACAACATTTGTAATCAGTTTTCAAGCATCAGCCCTATTTAAAACCCAGCACAGACTGCAGTTAGACTGTCAGTGATGGGTTTTTCCTGCCCTGATTGGTGGAGTTAAGAGAATGAAAAATGTGTAACTGGGGATCAAAATATTAGTCTGCCATGCCCCAAACCATGCAGAGGCAGGGGCACATGCCTGGAACATCTTGGATTAAACACCAGAGGCTTCTTCTTTAGGCACATGCAAGAAGTGCCTGCAGCTAACTGGTGTGAGCATCCTCAGTTATACTGGTGCACCTGCATGAGAATATTCCCTCTTGACCCTGCAGTGATAAGGAATACAGATGAGGATGAGCTGCACTGATTTGCAAGCATCTTATTTATGAGATAAAGTTATTTGTCCCTTTCTAAATCAAGGCAAAATTTTGATTTTGAAAACTGAGATCAAGACCTGTTAAGTATCCAAGAGCATTTGCTATTCCAAATTGCTCTCCTAGATCTTTCAGCAATATCAGGGTCAATTGCAGAGGCTGCTAAGGTCAAAATTGCTCACGTGGAAAAAGTTGATTTATATTATATGATACGTGAAAAAAAATTACCAGATGATATCAAAACACCTCCAGAGTATCAACTATTCCAACTTCACAAGTCTGCGGTAGGTAGGTGTTACTTTATTACCCCCCTGCATGAATAAAACAGCAGCCAGAAAGGTGAAAGTGAGGAGAAGACAACCCAAGAGCCTTTGCTGTCCCTTTTTTCCACACAGACAGATTTCCTCAGGGGTTATTCTCCTTTAAAGCAATACCCCTCCAACAAATACTGCCTTGGAGGGTGAAAAAAATCTTTTCATTCAATTTCCCCCCAGAAAACATCGCATAATTTAATATAAATGTAAAACTGAATATACAAGCAGAATTACTGCTTAAGTAAAACAGCAATGGAATCAGTCAGAAATCTTTTTTTGCTGTGCAAAGCCCCTCATAGGTTTTTTGAGGGGCAAGCAGACCCTCATCCCCTTTGTGGCAGGGCCAGACACCTTGGGGTGAGCTGAGGGGCTGAGAACCATTAAAGGGGAGCCCTGGGTGGAACCTTCCCCCAGCCCACGAGGGGCTTTTGCAGAGCCCTCAGTGTGCCCTTTCCCCAAGGGAAACACAGCTGTAGATTTTTAAATAAGTGCCAGTGAACATTGCTAGTGCACAGCCAGGCTCCAGGGTTCCAGTTTTAGCCTCTGGTGGATTGGAGATGAGACGAAATCCTCCAAAAAAGTTACAACCACTGACTTAACTCAGAGGAAACCGAGCAAGCTGCCACTAGGAAAAGCTTTCCCATAGGTAGAGCTGCAGGAGAGAATTCCTATGTCTTCATGTATATGAGAAACCATACTCTGCTGATTCAAAATTATCCTCTCAGCCTTCACTTTAAATTGACCCGGACTTTGAGTTAACCCTCAAGTCTTAGCTCGGGTGTCTTGTCATGCAGAGCCCCTGTGTGTTGTGCTCTCACCAGCACAGGCTGCTCAGTTTCCTTCTCTCTCTGCTAACACCCTTTCAAATACACCTTCTCCAGCGCCAAAGTTCCAGTTCACTTTCCATTTATGCACAGGCATAAGTGAATAGGGTAATTTTGTAATTGATTTTGGGTAATTTTGTGCCCAAAGGCTAAACTTTGGGTGTTACAGAATGAAACTGTCTGTGATGTGTGACTTGAGGCAGCCCAGGCTTTGCTGCAACACGCAGCCTCTCCTGCAAGATGCCCCCAGCACATCTCTGATGGGAATCCTGAGATGGCTTTAGTGCTTATTTGCCTATTCTTGCCATGCTCTAATGTCTCTTTTTTTCCTGCTTAGTGTCTGGACAGAAGAGACTCAGTGCTCGCTTCTCAATGCATCCATCACAGAAACCTTTAACTGCTCATTTAACTGCGGGCCAGAGTGCTGGAAAATCTCTCAGTACCCCTGCCTGCAGGTGTATGTTAATCTCACCTCTTCTGGCCAGAAGCTTCTACTCTACCACACCGAGGAAACAATGAAAATTAATTCTGAGGTAGGAGCACAGAATAAAATTTGTTCCTAAATGGGTTTCTGGAGGGCTTCTCATCTCATTACATCCATTCCTCACTTGAGAGCAATATAAGGCTTCCAGCTCCTGCTTCACGGATAAATACAGAGCAGAGAAAGCAGAAATCAGTGCTCACAGGTCTGGAGAGGGGCAACTTTCTGCCTCCATCCATCCCACACGGGGTGCTGTGCCCCAAGGGCTGGAGCCTCCCTCACCATTTTCAAGAGCTTTACAGGAGCAGGGGATCATCAAGCACTTGTCACACTGATATTCTCATCGAGCTGTGGACAAGTCACTTCCCACCCAGGAATGGCTCCCCATGACAGTGAACAGCCCTAGAAATGTGCAGTGAGAATGGAAATGACACCATTTCTGCAGGTGGTGGGGAGAGAGGAGAGCCCATCTCCACCTCTGGTGACAAACTCTGAGCCTGAGCAGCTCCCCTGCGCTCAGCCACTGCACTCACCCTGCAAAGACCCCGAAAGTTTGCTGAGTGGGGGGTGCCAAGGTAAAAGCAGCAGCATAAACATAAAAGGCCTGGCTTTGGGGTGTAAATAAGATAAGGAGCCGCCCCATCTTTACAGCACAGCTGCTCTGATTCCAGATGTTGGACTAATGGAATTATTTTGAGCAAGCCTGAAGAATTTCTGTCCCTGCTTCTGCAGGTACAATCTCCAGCATTGTCCCATGCAGGTGGGATGGAGAGAGCTCCTGTCTGGAGGCTGAAGGGAGGCAGCAGATGCAGAGAAGGCAGCAGCAGTGCAGCCGTGAGCCTGCCATGGGCCGTGCATCACTCCCTGCCTTCCCCAGGGAAAGGAGAGATGGAAACAGGAAAACGTCCCTCTCCCCACCTCCCTTTCTTCATATTAACAACTCCTGTGTCCCTGAGAGTGCAAACTGGAGGGAGCTGGGACACAGTGGAATGATTAGACTTAGAGCTGCCAGATTTCCTTTAACTGCTTGGTTATCCAAGGTCACTGAACCCCAAACTTGGCAAAGAACACCCGGAACAGCAGAGTCCCGGATCAGGCTGCTGACAAAGTAACCTGTGTTTCTATTTATGGCAGCTGTTCAGTAGAACAAATTAATCCTGCATATTAAGATGAAGTGATATTAAAATTAGTCAAAGTATGGCATGGTTGCACTAGGCTGCTTATTCTGCTGGATAATTAACTCTCATGGCTGGGAGATGGAGTCCTCTGGCTCTGAAGTGTGAAATAGAGAAGAGTTCCCCCTTTTTCCCCTCACTAGAGAAGAGTTCCCCCTTTTTCCCCTCACTCTGGCATCAGTGCAGGAAGAGGCACTCACTGCCTATGAAGCCTCAGGCAGGACAGATCTCACTTCCTGCTGAGGCAAAAGCAAAACCATGATGTTCACGCCTCAATTTGATTAAAAGAGATCAGATAAATCTCTATGCTCCACTGACTCAAATAAATCGAGAGATTCAACATAAATCTCCACATTCTTTTATTGATCATTTTTGCTTACTGAAATGGACTTTGAAATTCTCCCAAATGCCACCTCCTCTTAATTTAGTGTAGGCACAGTTAATACTTCTCCAGCCCAAGGTTGTTTTACAGGTTAAGCTCTGCTCTCAGGAGGATCCCTAGGTTTTCCTGGCATGCTGCTGGCTATGTGACCTGAATACAAAAGCAGTTTTGAGTGGAAGTTTGCAATGTCTATAAAATACCTGTCTTCTTGCTCGTGGCTCAGATCAGCAGAGTTTTCCAAGCTCAAATCAACACAACCAATCTCAGCATTCCAGATGTGATTTCCCTCTTCCCTGGCCAGAAAGCATCCCCATGCAGCAGGAAAGGAGTCCTGAGCAGTGCTGGGTGGTGATGCTCCAGCTGGGTGCTAAGCTGTCTCTCTCCATCCATTTACTCACATTTGTGTTCCCTGTCTTTACCTTTGCCAAACAAACAAAAAATAATCCCATGCCAGGCTCACTGAGCTCTGACATTACTGGGGGACAACACAGAACACAGTCCTGACACTTTCAAAAGGTGACACCCTCCACCAACCTCTCTGCTTTGCTGAGCACCACACACAGGGTCAGAGCAGCATCTGGAGCCTGCCTCTCTCTTCTCCCCACCAGCCAAAATCCACTTTGATTTTAAATCATGGTTTATCCAGGAGAATTGCTGTCTAACCTGGCTGTCAGCTCAGAGGGTGGAGTAAGGAGTAGGTACAATTCTTACTGAGATCTACAGCATGCTGCTGCCAGTCTCTGGTGGGAATCAGTGGGAAGTCAGTGGATATCTGTCAAGCTGCTTGACTCTTTCCAAGAAAAGCACATAAAATTTTTTTTCTGGCTTTTCATTGCTCTTGCTGTGCCTACTTTATCTCCAGCCTTTAGGACAAGCCCAGCCCCTTGTCAATACCACAGGCAAAACAGTTTAAATGCTTCTATGGCTTCACTTTCCTTCCTCAGCTGCCAAAGGCTCTAACAGCCTCTGCCAGAGATAAATCAGCCACAGGGCCAGGCTGTCACCATGAGGAAGGGCTGTGGTAGTAAAAGCAATTAGAGAGGCCCCATTTTGATCTTATATTATGTAATTTTGACTCTTTTCATGTCATTGGAGCTACTTCTGATTTGTATCGTTCTCCGTTAGTGAGATAACAAGAAGGATTTAATCACCAAAATCAGCTGTAACTGCCTGGGACTCAGAAATTATGTGGATTCTCAGGGTTTCTCACTGAAGACTCAGGTGTTTATAAGCCAGGAAGGAGTTTACCTGGAGCAGGGAGTGGAAGCAGAGGTGTTCAGCTGTGGATTCCAGTAGGGAACTGGAGACTTTCATCTGGAGGAATCAATTCAGACACAGGATTCCTCCTTCAATCCTTCTCCAAACCTGTTGCACTTTCCAAAAGAGGTGTAAATTGACATCCTGACCACTTTCTCACAAAGATTGTCACAGCACATCCTGTCTAAGTTTCCAGGCTCAGCTTGGACACCAATCCCAGCCACAGACATTTGATGAGAGTTGTGTATTTCACTGCCCAGCCTGAACTGGGGGCTTTTCTGGCAATGACCTTTTTAGCGTATCTTCATTGATTTAAGGGAAACTGCCTCCACCTCACCTGGAGAAATTGTGTGATCTCCATCCTAGGAGACATTCATAACCTGACTGGACAAGTCCCTGAGCAACTCTGCACTGAGCAGGGCACTGGACTGGATGTGTCCAGAGGTAGTTCAGACAGGATACTTACCCAATGCTTTATTTTAGAAAAGTAGAGATGAAAACATTAATCATGACTTCTATTTGTAACTGTCTGACAGAGCCTTCTTGTGCTCAGATTGCAAGGAACACAAGAATCACCTTTCTCATGCTGTATCACAGAATCTTCGCCTGAGGTAGAGCACCAGACATTGTTTACTTGCAGATTTCCAATTGTTTGACAATGCAGATGTGCCAAAAACCAGCAGAGATATAATTGTCTACATTCACAGGTACAGCATAACAGTTGTGGGTATAAAATTCCTTACCAGGCATCGGAGAAAACTACTGAAAATTTAAACTATGGAAAACAAGAGAAATATCAACACATCCCATTATTTAGTCTTCCTACTTGTTTGCCAAACACTTACGAAACACAGCTCTGGGATCTCACTGGGAAAGCTGAGATGCTGAAGGAGGCCAGGAGCACCCCACGACCACAATTTAATGTCCTTGTGCTGAGGACCAAAGCTAAGATCAAGATGTTTCCAGGGTCTCAGGAGAACCAGAGTGAGGCAGACAGCACACAAAGGGCACACATACCTTGGAGAGCATCTAGGAGACCAAATCTTGGAGAGAGACACGGCTTCAGCACAAGGAGTCTGGATGAGAGGCAAAATAATTCAACTTCCCTTGCACTCCACAGTTTCATGCTCCCAGACCCTCCATCACAACGCAGCTGGGGCTCTGTGCCTGCAGGTGCAGGGAACAGCTCAAATTCTGCTTCAGGTCTCCTCTGAGAACACTTGGACAGTACTTGGACTTACTGCACTCTTGGGATATTTCTGTAAACTTAGAGCCCAGGAATCTTTCATCCTTTTGGCTTCTACATATCTTCTGTTTCCTGTCAATGGGAAGTTGTATTTTGCAAAAGTAGCCAAGTTCTCATTTAATCACTTCATTCAGGATACTTCATGGGAATTCCAGAAACAGAAATGAATAGCAAAAAACAACAAGAAAAAAAAACCCAAATTCCCCCAAAAATAACACAACACAAACCCATTTGAACTGGAAATATTGCTGTTATGACAGTAATAATTTACTAAGGGAAAATGAGGAATTCTTCACTGAGAAATTTCCCCTACTTAGTAGATTATGATCTATTAAAGACTCGTGGGCACTGGAGAGAGGGCTCATGACTTTGGACATTTAGACAAATTTGGTCAGAGTACAAGAGAATATCCTATAGGGAGCAGACACGCACCAGCAGCAAGATGGATGAGATCTTAATGCTCTGATATTTTTCATCTCTAATTTCTAGAGCTCTATGAAATATTCATGATGGCAGTGTGGCCACGCTCCACCATTAATGCTCCAGTCTGCTAACGCCAGACAATCTCTCTGCCACGCTTCAAATCATATTCTGTGTTAATAACTTGCCAATGAATCAATCGAATCCTATTATGAGGTTAATCCTTTGATCATAATTAGGATTAGAGATTTGTTGCAGTATGTTAAAAGAAAGAATTCACGGCACATCACAAAAAAGAACGGAGGGACGTTTAGAAAGTATGTACATTAAAACAGAAATAATCAAAACCCACGGGTCACATTATTTTAATCAAAAACATCTTTTTTCCTTTGCAAAACTCACTTTCTCATTAAATTATCTGGAGCTACTTTAGGTTCTCACCAGGACAAGCAGCCTGCTGGGTCCCCCCTGCATGTCCAACAAGAAGTCAAGCAGCAGATTTCCGCTCCTCCTGAAGCAGTTAATCACAATCCTGTGCAGGTGTAGAAAAATTTCAGATTTGGTGGGGTGTAAGTGCATAGAAGGGAGAAGAAAGTGAGAGACCCTGGACTGCTCCCATCAATCATCTTCCAGACCAGCAGGAGCAACAGCAAGTTGAGGGGTTTCTGCTCTAGGTCAAAAATTGTCCAGAGGTGGCCTCAGTCCTGTGTCTGCCGACCACCTCACCAGCCCACACCAGCTCTGTCAGGGAGTGGTCAGCAGAGCCCAGGGCCACTGTCCTACCTTTCCCATGGAATATCTTCAGTGCATGGACTCCATAAGGCAGTTTTTAAAATAACTTGCCTTTAGTATTCTCTGGAAATCTAGGTTGCAACTGTGCTAGATAGAGCCACACCCAAATCTTATTTCCTTTGGGACTAAAACCGAAAATCCAGGATCAGCTTCAGTGGAGAGGAACTGTTGGACTTATGCTGGGGTCAAAAGCAAAAGCCTCACTAAGAGCCACCCTGGCAACCAGGCTGATCTTCAGCTAGAGGCTGAATGAGAGTCCTCTGGGCTGTCAGTAGGATAACCTAGACCACTGATTTGTCGCTAGCTGAGGCATTACCCCCATGAGAATATTTGTGTAAAGGTCTCTCCTCATCCCTCCCCTCTCTGAGTGAACTCCTGTGCCCACTGTGATCACTTTGATCCAAGCCAAGCGAGAGCTAAACTACCAGATTTGTATTTACAGAAAGTCAATTACCCATCTAACTGCAAGCATGTGTGTGCCACTTAAGGTGAAGAGGTACTTCATCAGTTCTATTTTTGCATGTGTAAATTAGCAATAATAATATATTCACCTACCTCACAAGGCACTGTGCAGATTAAAGCATTAATGTTTGAACAGCACTTGGAGGTGCTCCAATGGGAAATTCTGTAGATGTGCAAAATATTGAGTTTTGCTGTGATAAATTCATTATTAGCGTAATAGTATTCCACTCTTGTTGTGAAAAGCATAATCATCTGGAGATTTCCCCACTTGCCACCTGCAAACAGACACTGTAACAGGTTTGGAGACATTTTTCTCCCTCAATTTTCTCCCCAGTGTTCTTACATCCCCAAGTGCGGGAAGAACTACGAAGAATCCATGTCGCTGGTGAATGTGGTGATGGAAAACTTCAGGAAGTACCAGCGCTTCTCCTGCTTCTACGACCCCGAGGGCGTGCAGAAGAACGTGATCCTGACCAAACTGTACAGCTCCAACGTGCTGTTCCACTCCTTGTTCTGGCCCACCTGCATGATGATCGGCGGCGTCGCCATCGTCGCCATGGTGAAGCTGACTCAGTACCTTTCCCTGCTCTGCGAGAGGATCCAAAGGATCAGCAGATAGGAAAGGAGACTCCTCCGAAATTTAACTGCAGCGAAAATACTGTTTTTTCTCATTCTTCACCAAAGAACCTTAAGTTTGTAATGTGCAAGTCTGGTATAAGTTCCTTACTATATTCTTCTAAGTAGAGCAATAATGCAAAAGCTGTTCTATATGCAAACATGATGTTATTATTATGCAGACAACTGAAAAAGTTACTGTTTTGTGTTGACCGTCTCTATGATCTTGTTTTATGCTGGGATTAGTACTTTCTTTTCTACAGCCAAGATAGGGCTCAGTGTGACCATTGGCCAAGCTTTAGTCAATTGATGTTTTCGGTGTAAAAGATTCTGGGGAAATTCACAGCTGGACAAAGGGCAGCCGACCACCTGTGCATCATTGAGGTCTCACACCTGGCTCAGTCCATGGGATGGATTTGTGGCTTTGGCTTTTCTGGTACTGGCTGCAGAGGAGAGGGGAAAAAAGCACTGATATGGGGTTTTTTTAATGGTAAGATGGCACAAAAATGACGTATTTTGAGGTCAGGTTGGGATAAACATACAGTATTTTCAGCCTCAGTAGGACTTGGTGATGCTTTGTGTTTGCTCCCTCAGTTCAGAAGTCAATTGTACCCCATGGTGTTTGTAAGGTCTTTTGGAAAACACTTTGGAGTTTTATTTTGTGTAGTGCTATAATTTTCTTCTGTCTTATCAACATAAGTTTTGTCACTTGCAGAAGCTGTAGCCAAAAAAGCAAAAAACACCTTGTTCCATTTTGTATTCTAGTCTGAGCCCTATTGATGGAGGTGGGACCAGAACTCCTTATGTAAAGGTTTATTATTCATTTGTCTTGTATTTGCTACCATATCACTGTAAAGAAAAAAAATAACACTATCAGCTATTTTTTCATTTTTTACTTCCAACTATTTTAGATTTTTTTACTTGATATATATACAGATATATATATATATACATATAAAGAAAAAGCTATATTATATCTAGTTGTGTATTGAAACTTGTTATGGGGGGTTTTTTCCTTTGTTTTTACCCACTGGAAAATGAACAGTACAATTCATGTATTTGTAACCTTCATCCTTGGATAATATCATAACACGGAGAAGCAGCACTGCAGGATCTTATCCAATATTCATGATGTTGTTTCAGTCAAAGGTCTCTGTTGCTGTGACATGGGAAATGACAAAAATCTCATCCAATTCTATGGCTCTATTAACTGAATTGTTAGATAATCATCATAACACATTTGGAAATCTCTCCTGACCTTAACTCACCATGCAGTGCTGGCTGACATGAATTATGATTTACAAGACCCAGAGCAATGATTTATTGGAAAAACTGAGAATCTGGCTAAACTGTTGTCCTATCTGTCAGATATTTACCACAATATACTTGCCAGTTTAATTTCACACACACTGTAGTCACAATTTCTGCATAATTTATTTTTATTCCCCTATAGAAAACAGTCCTTCCTATGTTTTAAAGACACCTCTCTCAGTTCCTCTTGTTGCACCCAGACTGAAGGACAAACACAAGGCACATCCTGGGAGCAATCCTGTGAACTCATTATCCAATAGCTCAAAGAAACCATACACAGGCCTACTCAAACCAAGAAAATAACATTTTTCCCTTCAAAAAGACTGCAAATCAAGTATTCTGCCTAGTTCATCTATATATATGTAAGTACCTTTCCTCATCATAGCATTAAAAATTTCAAGATGTTACAAAACAAGTCATGCAAGTGTAATGTGAGCTGTAAAAAAAAAAAAAAAGTTCTCAGCAGTGAAAATAAACCTGCAATCTTGTAATCAGTAGTATAATTTTCCTTAGGTAATTAAATTCCTGGAGGGTGGGGGGATAATGAAGGTTCCAAAAATATGTAATAAAAATATTCAATTAAATCTTCCAGATTTCAGTATCTGCTGCCTTCAGATCTGGCTTGTTTCATCAAACTGCTTTCTGTAGCTCCCATTACCAAGAAAAGAGGAGTGCTGGTGCACCAGGGAGTTCACAAATGTTCATTTGCACAAACTCCTTTTTGATCAATATGTTGGAATTGCAGGAGCCAGCCCTGGGAGATCTGGGAACCTCAGCATCAGTGGGGCTGGGCTGTGCTGCCAACCACAATTCCCAGAGCAGGAATGCTGCAGGGCCCTGGCAGCACTGAGCTTTTCCACACCACCATCAGCACTCGTGCTGGCCATTTGCACAATGATTTACGTGCCCTGTGACATTTTTGGTGCCTGTGTTTGTGTATTTTCCCTCGGTGGCAGGGAAGCTGATTGCTCCTGACATTTACACATCAAACGCTGCTTTCAACATATCCTGCCATAAAACATTTCACCAGAGCTCCTGTGGGTGAAACATCTTGCTGCTGTTGTAGGCTATAATCATTTTGTTGACATTAAGGGAGAGATCTGTGGGATAGCAAAACAACTTGAGTAATTGGATGGAGTGAGGTAAAACAATAATTTTGAAGGGAATTATCCATCTGATCCCTGGCACTGTTAACCCCCTACTGAAGTGTTAGCACTGCAAATGGGATTTTTGACGACTCCTGCTGCCCCAAAGAGAGGTGGTGTTTCAGCAGGGATGTTAGTCTGTCCTATTTCTTTCTCTGCTCTATTTTAATATCATGTTTTCCCCTGCAAAAGGCATTGATGCTCCTATGCAGCTCAAATGCATGAGAAGAACATGTCATGCAATTCAGCAGCCAGGCAAACCAACCCTTGTTTCTAAGACTGGTTCTGACTCTTCCCAACACAAACATTTCCACTCTTGATGTCCCAGCTAGGCATTTGGGACAGCAGGGACAAACCTGTCCTGGAAAACCCTGGAAGGGAGAGGTGCAATATGGAAAAGGTTGTGCAGTATTTCCAGGCATCAGAAGCCTATGACAAGCACCCTTGTGTGATTTTAAATGATTTAAAACATTCATCAGTATTTCAGATACCAAATTCCCATGGCCTTTTAGTAGTTGTCATTTTCTTAATTAGATTTTATATGTCAAGCCTTATTCCTATTCTGGAAGATCTAAATCTGAAGCTGAAGTGTGAACATCCTTGCTGTAATACTTTGAAATTTGGCACCTTGCAGCAGATTTATAAATGTCACCAGCTAGGACAACAGAGAGTTTATTTTGATTTAGTTTTCTTCATTGAGGAGATGTCAATTTATCTCACAGAATGTACCCAGTGGAAGAATACCTGTCTCCAGGGTGAGCTTGGGTGAATGCAGCAAGGAGAGAGGGTTCAGGAAACACAAGAAGAGGAGAAACATCTCAAGGAGACACAAAGGCAGTGACTTCCCACCTGAAGGACAAATAGGGAATAAAGTCCCACCTTGTGACTTCCTTTTTTTAAAAAATTTTACACCCAGGATAGGAGTGAACTTGGGTAATTAATTTTTTAATTCTGTTTGAAAAATAGGGTTGGAGTAAGGGTTAGGGCTTGGGTTAGGGTTAGGGGTTGGGTTAGGGTTAATGTCAGTTCAATGGAAGAAGTTGCTGAGAAAGAACTGGCTGGTATTAATCTGTTCCAGGAGGATTCCTGCTCTCCTTTGACTGTCAAACTTTGTCCTTACAACAGTACAAACTCTGTCATGAGTGGTGTTGTCCATTTAATACCACCTTTATCATTTTTCAGCTAATTTCCCTTCTCATGCAGTAATGCTGGTATTAAATTAGCTCCAGGCATTCAGGGGTGTTATCCAATATCTCTGCAGCAACACAATTTTTCCATAGGCTCTGAGCATCTTCTCTCCATTAGCCAGTGTACTGTTCATCATCCATCAAAGATTTGGGAAAATCCCTCACTTTTCTGCCCTGCTGAGCACTTGTCACTTCCCAGCACTGTTTTACAGAGGAAAACCACACACAGTTTTTGGAGTTCCCAAACATCTCCCATCTGAATACAAACTTTGCCAAATTGTTTTTGTTTGCAGGATATAGTGAAAAGCAGGAGTAAACTTCAATTATTTTGTTTCAGTGTTTTGAAAACAAAATGTTCCCATTTTTCAGTTTGAACTGAAGATTTTAAACTCTAGGGATGAAGGAAAATTTTTATATAGGAAATCTTGAAAAATCATAGTTAGAAACATAAAAGCTCCTCTGAAAGAGAAAAAAAATATCCAAAATTTATCTGTTCACTTAATATTTTGAGGTGAGGGGTTTTTTTTGTGAGGTTGACCAGCAAGGTCCTTTCATTGTTATCTCCCAGCAGTGAAGTTCAGGATCCATCACAAGGATTCAGCAGGAGCAGCCCCAGTCTCCTGGTGGTCATCTCAGGGATGACCAGGATGGAAAAGCAAAGCACAGCACCTACCTCAGAGTGTAACAGCTACTGAATGGAGATGTTTGTGTGGACATAGTCTGTGCTTAAAGTTAAATCCCAGTGAACCACGAGGGGTTGATGCTGCCTTTTGCCATTTGCTGGTCCCCCAACAGGCCACTTTTTGTCCTTGCCAAATGTAAAACAAACTGCATTTGACACAAAGGGCTTCTTCATCCTTCAGATATGATCCCAAAAAAAAAAAAAAAAACCCAAGAAAAAAATCCCCCCAAAAAACCCCTCAGCAATACTGCCTGGTGAATTTGCACCAAGATTTTTAAAATAAATCAAATTTCTCCAAGCACTGAAAAAATAGTGCTAATATTAGCAGAGCCTTCCATACAGCCTGTCTATTTTTTCTTGTTCTCAATTTTCATAGAAGGAGCTGGTAGGTGAGTATTTATTTTTAACAGAACTACATTTATTTAGATAAGAATTTAGTGTATTTCATTGCTTCGTGATTTTATTGTAACAGAGATGCTCATTCTAAAATGCTTTTCAAGCTCTATTGAAACATGGCTTTTTCCAGGCAGAAGCTCAGCAAATGACTCATCAAACATGGACAGAGATGGAGGACCAGCTCACTGAACACATAGAAAATGTTTGTTTAATTTGAAAGTTCAAGAAAAGCAGGTGAGAGTTAGGAGCACCTCCAGAGGCAGTCAGGCAGGTTTAGGGAACCATATAAATTTGTGTTCATGCCTTTCAGTACAGCACAGAAGGATCAGACACTGTTATAGGTTGCAAAATAAAAAACAAAAAACAAAAAACAGCCTTTTTGTCCAGGAGTGTGCTCAATTTTCAATACATTTCAGGAAAAAATGTTAGAAAACTGCTGGAACACTGTGACATTCAGAGCACACAAAAACTAGCTTCATCTATAAAGATACAGTTTCTACAATGCCCTTTTTTGTTTTGGGGTTGGTTTTTTTTTTTTTTTTTTTTGAAACTTGGAAAAAATGCAAAAGCAAAATTTGAGTCTGGAGTGATCTACCATTGTCTCACCTAACTCTTTGTATTGACCCAACTTGACTTTTTTTCAGGTTTTTCAATCTGCAGAATATTTTTAATATTTTCTTCCCATCCACAGCTCAAAAAAATGTTGTGGAATTGAAAATGTGCTTCCCACTCAGCTCTGGCTAAATTCTCTACCTCTCCTGGGAGAGGTATTCCAATATATCATATGGAAGGTGTCCTTTCCTGTAACAGGGCGGGGAATTAGATGATCTGTAAGGTCCCTTCCAAGCCAAACTCTTCTATGATTCCCCCACGTGAAAATGCGTGTGAGGAAGGTGGGAGGTTTCATCTGCTCTTCCCAAAGTCTCCACCTTGGCAATTCTTTTGCATAACTGCAGGTGCTGTTCTGTGCTCAGTTACCAAGCACTTTTTAACAGCCAGCCACCTGCACAGTGAGCTCCTGATCACAAGCAAAAGCTCTGCTGAGCTGGGGCTGCTGAGAAGCTCAATCCCCAAAATCCAGGGGGCAGAAGGGAAGAGCACCTTGAAACCCTTCCACGGGGAAGGCGCTTGTGATTTCAATCACGGGGCACTTAAGCTCTCCGTTGTATTCATCAGAAATTAAATGGGAAGCACAGGCTGATGACTAAGCAGCAACACCTTAATCACTCCCCTCAGAAGCAGGAGTTCAAAGCCATTAGTACAGCAAGACAGCTGAGCAATGCAGCGAGGGGCTGCAAACACTGCAGAGGCTGCACAACCCGGCACAGAGGGAGTCTGGCTGTCATTTCTTGCCACTTGCTCGGCACCACTTCCCCATGTGCTCAAAGACAGTGGGAAGGCAAGTTTGTACCAGCAGCAGCACGTTTGCCATCGCTGGCAGCTGCCTTTCCTCCCCAGCACGTGCTGGCTCCCAACCCCACACAGGGGTTTCTTTTTCTCAGCCTCCAAGTAAGAGACAAGATCTTCCACCCGAGAGCAAAACAGAAGCCAAGCAATCTGTCCCAGAGCAGGTTTTCCCACAGCAAGTGAAGTGCCACTAATCCAAGGTTTCTGTTAAACAGCCACCAGGAAGGAGAGGGAAACACAAACAGCAAACATGAGTAAATGAGATGCTCTGCTTTGCTCGGGAGAAATGAGGATTATCTGCTCACACACAGGGGTTTCCCAGGGCAGGAGATGTTCAGGGGCCTCATTCTCTGTTGGCAGACACATCTGGTTTGGATATAACACCCAGGTTTTCATTTTATGGGCACAACACATGGCCCTTCACAAATCCCTGCGTCCCAAGGAGTAGCAGCTTCCTAGGCCCACTGAACTAGATGCTAAAAGTTTTGAGTATTCAGTATCAAAACAGAATTATTCAAATGCCATCTGGACACATTCCTGAGTGATGTGCTGTATGGGAGCCTGCTGCAGCACGGGGTTGGACATCCCAGCCCCTGATAGGCAAGTGCCCCGAGTACAGGTCTTGTCACAGGAACAGGAGTCAAGTCAGAAGCTGTGATGGACTTGGCTGTGAGTGGAGAAATTGGTTAACCTCATTTAAAAACCTGATTTTCTGCTAATACTCCATCACACTCCATTATTCTCTCTTTTAACTCGAAGCATCCAGTGAAAGACAG